AAAAAAAAAAATTTTTTTTTCTTACGGCAACTTGAAATTTGATTATTTTCCTTTAATTACGACTGAAAACGAGAAAAATCAGCGTATTTAAGTCCTTAAAATCATAACGATTACTTAAGTACCCCATTTTGCCCCCCCCCCCCTCCCCTATATATATACATACATATATAAATTTTTTAACTAACGTTATTTTTGAGCTTTACTCGACTAGTTAAGTGATATTACAACAAAATTCCGACATGAGGACCAATGCAAAAGATTGATTTCTATGAAATCTACCTAAAAATTTTTCAATGCTATCTCAATACTTTTTGCTTTGAAAACAAGAAAGAAAAAAACCGATTTTTCCAACTCAACTTACCAGACTACTGTATATCTTAAATATTCATAATTAAAATAATCAATATTAAAATTACCCGAACATCAAAAATTCGGACTGTCAAAATAATCAGTACACTTAAAATCATTTTTCCACCTAACTTTTGTTGCAACGCAGGGTTTATTCAATAATTATCTACATAAACTGAAATTATACGCTCTGGAACTTATTCTATAAGATGCAACTGCAAGAAAGAACTGCTGTTTAGGACTCTAGATCATTTTAATGCACAATTCATAATTAATGAATTAATCAGACATCTATTTGCTTCCGACAATGATTTTTACAATTGAAAATTTCTATTCATAAATTTAATTACAAAAACAATGCTATCGAATTGTATATATTCATGCATCAACACTATCAAACATTTGAATAAATTAAAACAAATGCATTACGTAAGATTGTACAGTAAGGAAGATACAATCAATAAGTTCTAGCTTATTTTTAATTAAATTAATCAAATTATTTTTGCAACAATGTATAGTCGTGCCAAAAGATATTTTTAATTTTCATGTCATCAGAGTCAAATAAATAAGTCTATTGTTTTTTATTGAATTAATAAGATTATTTAGTGAAGTAATCTTGTTTTTTCATATCTATTCATAATGAAGTCAATTGACAATTGATTTAAATGATGTATTTCTGATATTTTCGACAATAGACAGTAGATATCGAACTATTGCATTTATCCTCATGATGCAACTCTTGAAACATTTTTCTACATGTTCTATTAACAGTGTAATTTTTATAATTCAAGAAGGATTATGAAGGTAAAATTTTAATCTTTATAGAGCCGTAAATTTTTCAATCCCGTCAATTTTAATAAATAACTATAATTTATTTGTTATTTTATTCACAAAACTTTCATGACTCATTTAAAGTTTTGTCGATTTAATTGATTCACGCCGTAGTTGAAATAAAATTTAACGATTGCTTTTGCTATAACTTAAGAATCAACATTTATTATAATACTTATGATTTGAATTTGATTATTTTAATAGTTTTTAAATATTTGAATACCGCGCTACGCGCGCGCATTAATTTTAACCAATGAGGAATCGTGTTCCGTTTTTTTTCGAATTTCGACTATTGACTAAATTCAAACGCTCATGTATTTTTTTATTTTTTTTACGGATTAATTTACGTCAGTAAAGAAAGGTTATAATAATTTCATTTTGCATTCGGTATTCTGACTATAGCAAATTGAAGTATAGTGTCAATCAGTATACGTAAAGTTCTACCCGGGAAAAACGAAATATATCTCCGTAGATCTATTTTCAGCAGATCTACGCACATCTAAATTTTGACGAGTTTTTGATGTACCTATGGTGCAAATGTAGTTGTAGATGTTAAAAAATTTTACAGGTTACAGAGAGAGTAAGCTGTACGTAGATCAACGTAGATATATTTTATTTTTTTTCGGATAATCAGTATAAGTATAGTGCTGAGCAAAATACCACAAATTGTTAGTTAAAGCAATACCAAATTTTTTTATCAGCATAAAAAATATTATGAGTGGAAAGATACTTTTCTTTCTCTAGAAATATTGCACGCCTCATAAGCGAAGCGGATGAGGTTGTGCTCTACTCTCGTCTTACAAAAATCAAGTGATTTTTTGAACTAAAATTGTCTCTATTTATTTTCTATCGCACTTGTAGAATAATATTTACACATAAATGTCATGGAAAAACACTAATTTCAACACTTATGACATTTTTAAAAGACAATTTGCTTTTTAAATAAAAATAGTTAAGAAAATTATTGCGTGGATGTCCGTGTGTGTCTGATGTATGTATGGAAACTGGCGTGGTCACGATAACTGCTGAAAAACTTAACTGATCAATTCCATTTTTTTTTATACGCTTCAGTATTATCCAAAACTAAATCCTTTCGAAGATCACGGTCTAATTCAATGTAGTTTAATTATAATTAGCAATAAACTAAAATCCACTTGTCGTTTGTGTATCTATATCTATGTAAATAAGGTTCGTTTACAACACATGCGCAGTACGTTTCTTTTCTGGGTGAACAGTGGCGCGAAAGATTTAAAAGTATTTGTATTTTATTTTAATTAATTTTGTTATGGAAAATGAGATTATGAGGCGTGCATTTTTGGATTTTCTAAACTTTTTTTGTTTTTTTCTTAACATTATTCTTAAAACGCACGAAAATTTACCTATAAGTTAATTTTTGAGTTCTTCGAGCTTCAAAATATGAATTTAAATTCTCTTCTGTTTCCCAAATTTAAAAAGGTAAGTAAATAAACAAATGCAGAGCCAACAGCTTAATCAGTGAATTTGAATTTATCCCATCAACCGCTTACAATACAAACAGAGAACAGCAAAATAAAACTATTTTTGTGCCAAGTAATTTTTTTATAATCGACCATATTTTCATTAAATATTTGATGATGAATTCATTACATTTTTACGTTTGATTTACATTGTCTTTAATGGATAATATTCAAATGCATGCCATTGAAGTTTCGGTAAGCTTTATTGAATTTCAAAGTATATATTCAGGATGATTAATTCTTCATCCTCGTTTGTAAGTTTAAAAACTGCTTTATATTGGTTGCGAGGAAAATCATCTGGGAACGTAGCTGTTGGTAAAGTATAACCTTCACTGCCATAAACACCCTAAAAATATCAAAATAAAAAAAAATAGAAATCAGTCATATTTAGGAAATGACAAAAAATATAACAACTCTTGTAAAAACACTATTTTTAATCATCATTATTATTCAAACATTTTTAATCAGTAAAATGGATCTACAGTCTTACCGGTTTAGGTGGACAATTATCATCAGAAAATCCAAACACACGGAGAAGAGGGCCCATGATAACAGGTTCATTCATCATGTCACATAAGGTCATTTCTACATCGATTCCGGTGTTTACGACATATTCGCCCAATGACGCTCCTATTATTCCTAAATATCCCTGAAAATGACAAATCAGTTATGTTTTATAATTTCTCATATTCTGTCAAAAAAAAGTGTGAAAATGAAGTTAATTTAACACCGTTCAATGTTATATGAGAGTAACAGCAGGTTAGCAGTGTTCTTCCGCGATATTAAATGACGCACTAATAGAAAAGTTAACTTGATTAAAAAAAACAAATCTTGAACCAAAAATACTATTTTGAAGAAAATGTGTTTCTTGGGTCTAAAGAAAAAATTTCTGAGTCGAGAAATTATTCTTTTGCCTAGGTTGTGTCCAGAGAAAAGTAAGTACTATTAATTTATTTTTAACTCATATTTATAATGTAGTCTTTGTGATCGTATGCTTTAAAAAAAAGTTAAGTAGTTCCAAATGTGCAGTCCTTAAGCACTCGGGTCATACGTTAATTAATCGAAGTAAAGTTTTAATACACAACAAATTTTCACTAATAATCTCAATACTATTTTCAACTTTTTAATAATTTAATATTAAACGTCAATAGAAAAAAAAATTTTGAAAACAGTTGACCCTGCAGGCCATCCCTGGTACTTCCTGCTATGTACGAGTTTAAAACGCTCGGTAAATTGTTGATTCGGGCTCGAAAATTTAGTAGTTGGACATACATACTTTTTTGAAAATTCTAAATTACGATATCTTCCGGTCGAATCAATCGTTTTTGATGAGACTAGCAGCATTCGACGTAGTTATTTGAGCACAAAGATTATTTATGATGTACCAAACGATTTAACGTAAAATTTTGAAGTTATAGTAAAAAAAACACTTTTTCGAAATCTTTTAAAATTAAATATCTCTTGAACAATTTGACCGGTTATGATGCGGTTTGTGATAATCGACGCAAGTTCTTGAGCACAAAAGATTATCTCTTGCTTACTAAGTGATCCGGAAAGAAATTTCGAAGTTATATAAAAAAATACTTTTTCCTAATTTTCCGAGAATGGTTTCTCCTAAACGAATGAACCGATTTTAATGCGATTTGTGGCAATCAGTGTTGTTTTTTTAATTTCATTTAAGAAAGAAATTTGGTTCAAAACATCTAAAAATTCTTGTTTTAAAAAATACATCGTCTTATATATATGATTTATTTTGAAAAACAGAAATATTATTAGTCGTCTAAAAGTTTTTGTAATTAATTGTTGATGGTAAATTCACTAAAATTATGGTGATATAGTTAGCAATAGCATGACAATTTAATTTTTAAACATGGAAAAATATTCAAACAGCATTTTAACAGCAAACGTAAATTTAAATTCTTCCGACAGTGTTCATTCAACCCCGCTTTGGGTATCAAGATTTAACACCAGCGATATTAACACCTACAATCTAGACTTACCTCGGTTTTTTTAGAGTATTCATTGATCAAAAATTTAAAAAACTGAGAAAAAGTGAAGTATTTTTTAACTTCCCGCTAAGAAAATCGAAGATTTTCGAAAAATCGGGTAGTTATTGGTTTTACCCCGTTTTACAAAAATCGAGATTTCAACAGATTTCGACGTTTTGAAGCCCTAAGAATGTGTGTGTGTGTGTGTAAATTTGAATGGCTAGACCGATTCAATCGCGGTTGGTGCCATTCGAAAGGGCTTGACTGAACTTAGATTTTGAATATACTTTGGAACAATTCGGACCGGTAAATTGTGAGAAAGCTCAAAAAAACTACAAAAAAATAATTTTTCAAATTCGGTTTTTTTGGAATAACTTTTAAACAGCTTAACCGATCAATTCCAAAAACATCAATTCTTAACATCAAAAAACCACGTTGATCGCCGCCAGTCTGGTCAAAATCGGTTGATTCGTTCGTGAGTTATCGTTGACGAAAGAAAACCGAAAAAAGTGTTTTTTGGGAATTACTCCGAAATTTCTTGTTCTATTAATTTAAACTTAAAGATTCTTCATGAAGCTTGAAAAACTGCGTCGAATACCACCAACCGCGTGAAATTCGGTTTATTCATTCAAAAGTTACTGCGATTTGAAAATTCAAAAAATAGTGTTTTATCAAACTTCTATCAAACTTTTGAGCTTGAAGAGCTCAAAAGCATACAAAAGTTTTTTTTTGAGCTCGTTTTCCTAATTTTTCCTTGAGATTTTTTTTTGTATTTTCAGAAAAACATTAACATTTTGTTTTTCAATTATGAAAAATGTTTTCCCATGAAAAATTACATATCACAGGAAAATTTTAAATAAAATTTATCACACACTTCGAAGAATTTCTGATTTGAGTATATATTTGAAAAATATAATATGACGAAGAAAACTGAAAGTTAATAACTATTATTATAATTTATTACTTGAGTTAATGGTAAGAACTCTTTTACTATTGTAGTATTAAAAAATATTGCGTTATTATCATCGATGTAGGTATCCGGTTCTGTGAAATATTCTTCATTGAAAAGTGGACAATCTATGTCTTTAAGAAGTACAACAAAGTCTCCCTAGAAAATCATCAATATGCTGTTTATATATTATGGTAATAAATTAAGCAAATTTTAAATAATACACGATCTTAATTATCAAAATTGAAAATACCTGTACGCTAAAAAATTGCGCTGTCAAAACAATCAGAGCACTCAAAATCATTTTTGAGTGAAACTTGTCTCAGCGAAAGATATATTAAGTAATTTCGTAGATAAACTTTAATTATAAGCTCCGGAAAGTATTCCCTGAAAATTGCAACTGAGGCAAGTGACTGCTATCGAACAGTATAAACACGATTGTCTGCATGCTCTATGAAAGAGGCACTTACATAAACTCATTACGTGAGGCTGTAAATAAAATCAGCTAATCACTTAATCAATCTTCTATTTATTTCCGATCATAAAATCATTTTTCAATGATGAATATCATACTGAAAATCGCTATTTTAACGCTATTTTAACGCATATATATAACGCCTACACGGAAAAAACAAGATTTAACTAGTTTCCATCTATAGTGAAACAAATTTACAGATGGCAACTACTTCTATGTAGATTGTAGTGCATAAAATCTTAAACTTAGTTTAATCCGAGATTTATTTGTCTTAGACGGTTGTCAGTACTACGCGCATGCTCGTCAGTCCCATCTTACATAGCAGTGGCTTCCATTTGGAATTGTACTAGAATCTATCTATAGATAGTACCTATTTCTACATTATCATTTAAGCTTTTTCCATCCAACATTGGTGTCACTACTATGAAAATAGAAAATTTTCCGTGAATCGCGATTGACGCCATTCGAAAAGGCTTGACCAAACATAGATTTTTGATACAACTTGGACCGATTCGGAGCAGTAGATTTTGAGGAATCTCAAAAAACCTACGAAAAAAAATGATTTTAAATGTGGTTTTTTGGAATAACTTTTAAACGACTTTACCGATCGATTTCAGCTCTTAACATCATAAAACTACGTCGATCGCCGTTGGATCTGTCAAAATCGGTTGATTCGTTTGTGAGTTATCGTTGACGAAAAAAAATCGAAAAAAAAGGATTTTCTCGGATTACTTCGAAATTATCGGCCTGATCAATTTGTGTTTAAAAGTAAATCATAAGGTTCGAAAAACTGCGTTGAATGCTGCCAACCGCGTGAAAATCGAATTATTCATTCAAAAGTAATTGCAGTTTGAAAATTTAAAGAAGTGTTTTATTAAAATTCTATCAGACTTTCGAGCTCGAAGAGCCCAAATGCATAGAACAGCTAACGCTTGGAACTTGGAGAGCTCAGAAACGTCATAAGTGTAATTTTAAGCGCCTAAGTACGGAATTAGCGGAAAATTGCAGAGATGGCCTATCGGGTCAATCGTTTACTCAATTTTTAACTTCTTGCTAAAAAAATTGAAAATTTTTAAAAATCGGGAAGTTATGGTCGATGGTGTCCGTACGTCTGTATGTATGTAGGGATGTGTGTGTGTGTGTGTGTGTGTGTGTGTGTGTGTGTGTGTGTGTGTGTGTGTGTGTGTGTGTGTGTGTGTGTGTGTGTGTGTGTGTGTGTGATGTGAACCTCTTATTACTTTTTTCTATTTTTTATTGTTCTTACACAGTGAAAATTGTTTTTGTGTGAATTGTCGCAAAAAAAAATAAACATTCTCCAAAAAATTCTAACACATATGCGATTTATGCATAAAATCACAAAGAATACTTCATTGTGCAATCATGAATTTTTGTTTTTGTTAATTTCTTAGGGTGCCATTGAAATCATTCTAGAGGATGTACTTTGTCCAACTTTTAATAAAGAATATTTAACCGAGCCAGATGTTTATTTAGATGCTAACAACCAAGCGTTTGTTAACTTTTCAATAATTAAACAATTTCCACCGGATGTTCAGGTAATGATGAGTGTTTTTACCATTTCTATTAATAAAAATTATAATAATAACTACCCGCTTTGGGCCACCTTCCCCTATATTTCTGTTGTTAGACTATGTATCATAATTTTATATAAAATATTATTATTTTTACTACTATTCTTTAGTTACTTACCATTTAGATTTACAATTTATATTTTTTTGTAATCTTATTATTGGCGTTGTGCTGTTAGGTTATTATTATTACTAAAGAAAATAAATAAATGTGATTATGATAACTTCCCGGTTGATATGGATTAATTTCGGTATCTTCCTTATTAAATTTGTTTATTTAAAATTATTCCACAAATGAGATGTAAGACTAAAGTTTTCTGACAGTATGAAAATCAATTATAATTTTTAGGTCCGCTTTCATTTACTAGGAGCATCGATGGGTGAATTTGTCATAGAAACTGGAATCGATGTAGAGATGGGCTTGTGTGAAATATTCGGTGAACCTGTTATAATGGGTCCACTTCTTAAATTATATGGATTCGTGGCGGCGGACTGTCCACCATCTCCTGTAAGATCGATTAATTTTTTTTAACTGCGTTGGCATTTTCGTAAATTTTTTAATTTCCTCTAGGGTGTTTATGGAAATCAAGGCTATAACACACCAATGGAATTAATGCCAGATGATTTTATACCTAACAAATATCTATCAATCGTTGAATTTTCATACGAGGAAGAAAAATTAATAATAGTTTATACATACTTTAATGTTCAGTAAATCTCAAAAAAACTTAAGAACAAAACATTATTACTATTTATACAGTTGTTATGCCTCGAAAAATGTACTTATCTATTGAATAAAATTGTTTCACACAGTAATTACAACTTTTCTATCGACTTTCTAAAATTGGTTTTATGATTTATTTAGTATGCTTTATTATTATTGTCACTCTCTACATCTGAAACAGTGAAAATCATTGGAAATTAGTGGTATATTCATTATTTCACAGTTATAAGTATACCACTTGGTATACTTATAGCTGTGAAACAGTGAAATTCCACTGATTCATTTTAAGAGAGTGCAACTTGATGATTTTTTGTCCGAAAATTCACTGTCTATGTTACATTTCGTAATACAATGTTAGCATACAATCAAACGCTGTGTTAAATACCGTTTTAAAGCTACCTTGCTAATAAGGCAAAAATAGAAAAATTCTTTAAGAGTTCCATCATAAGAAGGAATGCAATAGTTCGTCAAGTGATTTCCCACATGTGCACCTCATTTTACGTCGTTTCTTATAAGTTACTTAGCGATTTCCAATGTTAGAATAAGTTTATTAAACTCTCTATGATTTGCAATCGTTAAAATCGGTCGAGTTATACTATCATATAAATAAAATCGTTCGCTCCAGCGCTTGCTGTTCAGCAACTTGACAATATCAAATTGTCTTCGATAAATCGCGAGAGATAAAGTAAAAAATGATCCGTTGTAATAGTTGCTATTTTTTCGAACACTTTCGTGATCAGCACATAACAATTTGACGATTTTTTTTCTCCTGATTCCTATTGCTAGTTTCAATTACATGTTCTGCAGATAGCGTTCTGTACTGCCGAAATATTGAAATGCCTGTCGAGGTTTTATTTATCTTTACCTTTTACAGAATTATTATACCCACGATTTTTTGGTATGGATAGGTAAAGTCTGTTTTTAAAATTACGCAGGTCTACAAAAATTAAAAGTGGTCTGTGCTGGGTGTTCGACGAAGATTTTCCGACGTATTTTTTACCGCTGAATACGAATCTGAAGTCAAAATTAGGGGTCAAACTGCAAAAAACGGAGAAAATAAAAAAAAAACCGATAAAATCCGAGATCTTATAGTATTTTTAGTGTGTCATGATCAAATTGCAGTTTCTGCTTTGTTTCTTCCTGTAGTATCCATAAGTGATTCGCAAATATGTTTATTTGCCACTTATTGTGTCTTATTGAAGTCTTTTATCAAATGAATTGTGTCTTTGATATAAAATAAAACGTCAGTACATTTACCGGCAAAAATATGCTACCACGGAGTGTTTAGACTACGATAACAACTGCCCTTTAACGGGATGTGTAGAATGATTCGCTAGTCAACATTTCGTGGTATCGAAGCCAGCGAAGGCGCGCTGTTTTGCAGAGAAGCGCTATGGATGAACAAGAAAAGGCATCATGGCTAAGTTTCAAGGAAGTGTGTACCAAATTTTTAGGTATCACCAAGAATGTTGATTACGAAAATATTGTGGCCAATATGATCGCAAACTTTCAGCGTACAGGTTGACTAATGAATTTGAAACATCACTTTCTTGATTCGCATCTCAACCACTTTCCGGAGAACAACGGAGACTTTAGTGAAGAGCAAGGAGAAAGATTTCATCAAGACCTCAATTAATTTGAACGGCGATTTCAGGGGCAGTGGGGAGTATATATGTTTGCAGATTACTGCTGGACGCTACAAAGAGAAACTCAACAGAAAGAAAAAATGCGTAGCAGAAATCTGTTTCACAGGTCATTTAAGGAGAAAAGCGCCAGGAAACGACAGAAATTATAATATTATAATTATCATGCAGAAAAAATTATTAGATTAATAAATTGCAGTTTAAAAATTTTAAGAATAGTGTTTTATTAAACTTCTATCAGACTTTTCAGCTCTTCGAGCTCAAAAACGTCATAAGTACAATTTTAAACGCCTAGGTATGGAATTAGCGGGAAGTTGTAAGGATGGCCTTCAGGATCAACCATTTTACTAATTTTTTTTTCGTTCCTCATTAATTTTATTTTAGATGCATCTTAATTGAACAATAATTCTTGGAACCGTTTAAAATTGCAGTTACAATTTTTAGAATGTTAACATTATTCATTGCATCAAAAACTATAATAAATCACGGTGTTTCATGTAATTCATGGCGTAATATTATAAAAATTAGAATTTTTTCTTGCTAGTTCTTTTGTATAATGTTCATTGGCGGAAATTACGATCTGAATGAAGTGTGCAGAAAATCTTTTCAACAGTTGTATAACAAAGATGAATGCCACAGTTCGGTATCTAATAAAGTCTGTTGTCACGAATATCATAGAAATCCATAAAATAAATCAATTTTTTCAATTGACTTAATTACGTTCGAATGTAAAAAAAAAAGATAACTCGGGTAGATAATCTAATTAATTCAGTGAAAAACAACGGAATTTATTTATAATATTTTCTTTGTAGCACAATCTTGCGTGACATTGTTGTTTTAATTTATGTAAATGATCGCTGGTGATGATACTGTACACACCATTCGACGGCATTATCCTCACATGATTAAATATTCCAGTAACTGTTTTATAAAATCCATCAGTATACACCTATTACCTAGAATATTTTGTATAAACATGTTTATCAAAAAAAATGATTCATGACATATTTATTGCAATCATACCTCAACTCATTGGAATACAGGTATTTCAAAAATCGTTGGTTTGATTGAATGTTACCTTATCTTTTATATCTTTTTGTTCTTACAAAGTAAAATTCTTTTTGTAGAAGTTGTCGGAAGAAAGATCAACATTTTCCAAAGAAATTTGAACCTATATAATTCCTACATAAAATAACAATAAATATTTTATTGGGCAATAATAAATTTTTGTTTTTGTTAATTTTTTAGGGTGCCATTGAAATCATTCTAGAGGATGTGTAACAAAACTGTTCCCGAAAATTTAAACAAATTTTCACCGGAGGCGGAGATACCGGCCGGGTAAAGTTTTTACGCTCGCCCTTTTTCAATGAATAATAATAAAATGAACCTGAAACTCCCCAGGATGGGTTAGTGCACGAAAAGGACGCCAGGTAATTTTATCTAAAAATTACCAAAATTAATTAAAATGCCAGGGGCCTTGCCGGACGATCAATTAACGATCTAAATTAATGCGAATGGAAAATAAATCACGAAATACTTACAGTCAGGAGTAATATATAATTTATAATCAGAAATA